CAGGGGACTTTCTGCAGTGTCGTGGTCATTGCTGGGCTGGGTGCAGATGTGAAGGGGGTGTGGCTGAAGCCCTTGGCCTCACCCCCCCTGCCACCTCCCCAACTTAGGAGCCTTGGTCACTTCCTGTGGTGGCTTGGTGGTCAATGCTGGGCTGGTTGGGGATGTTGATGGGGCATGACCGAGACCCTCAGCCCACACTGCCCTGGCTCAGGATAGCCGTGAGCACTTCATATGATTGCTCAGTGGTCATTGCTGGGCTAGTTGCAGGTGTTGGGGGCATGGCTGAGGCCTCCAGCTGTCCCTCATCCCTGGCTTGGTGGCCCAGGGGAATTCTGGTCATTCTAGGTTTTATAGGTGTTCTTTGGTGATGCCAGACCTTTACTAGTTAATATTAAACTTCATCTCTGGTCTTTGGGCATTTTGGGTTTTTTTCCAGTTCTATGTTGGATTACTTACTGTTCCTACCACTTAAACTCTGTGCTAGAACTAATTTGTTCTCTTTTGCTTACTTCTAAAATGGGGAAACTTCCTGTGTGGACTAGAACTTGAGCTGTGTGATTGAGCTAAATTGTTGCTTTGCTGCTGATTCCCTGGGGAAGGCTTTTTGTGCAGCTCAGGTTTTAATGGTTGACTTTGTAGGTCCTTCCGGGACTCATGAGATCTCGTACACTGGGGTTGTGTAGAAACTCTGCCTGGGCCTGAGTCTTCAGCAAACTGCACCCCCTGCAGTTCTATATTCCTGACCAGTCTCCACTAAGTGGTCCTACATTGATTTGGGGGCAGATCAGCTGTACATGCTGTGCCCCAATATTCTCCTGGTGGGCCCATCTCCCCCACTGTTCACACTCCAAACACTTCCCATGGAGTGGGCTGTGCACTGGTCCCTTGAGATGACTAACCAGCTTCTTAGTTACTCCTTTTTTTCAGTTGCTGTGGCTCTCAATCCTATGTGGGTCCGTGGGAACCCTATTCATGGTCTTGCTGGCACAGGAGCCACCAAGGCCCTCTTCTCCCCTGCCGCCTCCAAGCAACTTCATATGTAAGGCACAGCTGCAGCTTTTGCCAGTTCCTACTCCGTGCACTCAGCAGCTCCAGTCTGGAAGCAGCTAGGGATTGAAACAGTCAGAGCAGTTCTTCCTTTCTCTCATCATCGCTTCTCTCACCTTCATGCACTCCACTGGTCTCTCCAGAGTAGGTTCTAAATTCCAAAGTTCATTTATAAAATGGGTAAACAAATAATGCTGATCATCTAAGTTATAATCTCATGACTTATTAATATGAATCAATTTACAAAGTAAATATTGTAAAGTGACATAGAAACTAATTTTATTAATTAATATTTTATACATCATATGTTCACAAGAACATATTTTAAATACAACTGACTTTCTCTTTTATTTAATTTACAGATTTACATTGGAATAACTATAAAAGAAAATAAATTCCCTGATGTTTAAGACATCAGAATTCAAAAATAAATTTATCAAACTTTTCTGAAACATTTCTCATGTTTTTCTCTCAAAATCGAGAAGCTAGTTCTTAATCAACTGTAATCTCACTTGAATTTCCTTCGTTCTAGCTGTAAATCCCACTTTAAAGTAGAACTAACAAAAATGGATAAGAGCAGCAATTCAGAAGCAGCTCAACCATAACAAAAAAACAAGTGTTGGACCTTAAGCCACTGCTGGTTCTTGCTCCACCAAATGAATGCAATCCTCTCTCACCTTCTATTAGAGAAGGAACATTTTTTAAAAAATCCGTATATACACCCCTATAAAAATTGTAACCCATGATGTCTTTATTTACGCAAACAAAAATATATACATCTACACATACACAAAAACGCATTGACTTTTAAACCTAGAAAGAATAAGAATAGTTCTAGTTTTATCACTCACTCATCACCTCACACAAAAAGAGTAATGGTACATAACATGCCATTTTTTCCTGCTCCTTCTTAACTGTGAGAGGGCATTTGTTACAAAAGATGTTAGCATTTTGGTTCTCTAGCATAATAGATTTCATTATTTTTGTTCTTACTTAAAAATGATTAGTAATAATTATTGGTGTTTTTATACCAGGAAAAAAATTACAAATTCACTTTGGAAAATTTGGAAATTATAAAAAAAGAAAAAGAAAAAGATTACCTATGGATTTCTCATTAAAAGTATAGGCTTTGCTGGTTGTTTTATTTGCTTGGTTTGTTTCCTGGGTTTTACTTCTATGAATTTTGCTGATTTAATTTTTTATTTTAGTGTTTGCATATTTATGATTACATAACTTCATGAAAATTTACCTCCTATGCTTTCATACTTATAATTTGTGAAATTTCTCCTATGTTATAATGAACTCCTCATAAGCATTATTTTCAATAAATATTTTCATAAAATACTATCACCTAGTAGTACGAGATTTTACTTCTCCTTTCTTCTATATTGAAGTAGTAATGACTTTAAGTTTATCATTATCACAAATAATACTGCAATGAACACCTTTTTCATCAAACCATTTTTGTAATTCAAATTATTTCTTTAAGACTGAAATCCAGAAGTGTATCACAGATTATGAACATTTTTAAGGCTCTCGATAACTATTGCCAAATTATTTTCCAGAAAGTAAGCTATTTAAACTCTTAAATTTAGGTTATGAAAGAGCCTACTTTACAAAAGACTCACTAACATTATTATGATAATGGTTTTAATAGGGAAAAATGAGCATTTAAAAATACTCCAATATATAGGGTATTGCTGTTGAGTAGAGTTTAATAAATATATGCCATTATTTTTAGTTAAATAGGCTCAACTAAATTTTATAAAAAAAATTTAATTGTAGGTGTTTGAAAACTAGTAAACTAAACATTTTTCCTTATTCGAAGGCTATTTTAAGTTCGATTTTTGAAAAGTCTTTAATTTAAGTATTGTACATATGGTCACACACAAGCTGGTCTTTTTATTTTATCCTAAGTTGAATGGTATATGTAAGGACATGAGTAGACTGAGCCACTCCATTCCAATGGATCATAGTTTAGCCATGTTTAGTTGTTAGCAATCATATTTACGTTGGTTCTTATCTACTAAAATAGAAACTACCTGGGAAAGTGAGACAAGATTTACACAAAAGGTAAAAGTGTGATATTCTGGAGTTGAGAAGTCATTTTACAAGGACATAATGGTATCTAACTGTAGAGATTTTTCAGAAACTGATTTCTTTCATGACCAACCTATTGGGATGAGTGAATTAGATCTGAACTATCAGCTTGTTAAATTAAATCTGAATTCAAATAAATGATCATCATGGTAACTATGTAACAAACAGAGAGAAAAAAAAATATTTTGAATATAGCACCATTAGTTTGTTTGCAGAATGAAACTAATTAAGGTATTTTTCCGGGTAAGCAAGGAAAAAAATCCATAATGTCATCCTCAGCATTTAACTCTTTATCCTTCTGCTTTATTTTTCTGAGAATTCACATGTAAAGACTGCACCTGCACTCTGCTCTAGTGTTTCTCGTTAGATGAAAAATACCTCCCAAGCAAAAGCAAACTTAGAGGTTTGATAAAAGAAACATATTCAAAATTCATTTATAAAGATATCAAAGGCAAAATCATTTTATGAAGTCAACAACCAAAATACTTCCCAAGTGCCATCACCACATATCTTGTTTTCACAATCTATTTAATATTTCCACCATATTCGTCTTTATTTGAATGAATGACTCCTTGCAGTTTTGACTTTGGAAGTCACTTCTTAGTATGAGAGAACCAAAGTTTATGCCAGGTTTTTGCAGGAACTCAATGAGTAATGTGACTTCATCTGATTACTATTTTTAAAAGCAGTAAATGTAGTCACACATTTTTATAACTGTGCAACTTTTTAGTTTTAATACAAATGGAAGGCACAGTAACAAACTATGTATAATGATTATTGCAAAAACTTGGAAGCTTACTTTCTGAGTAATTTATCCATTTCTGTTTTATTTATTCATTTCCAGTGTAGCTTTTCATTTCCAAAATAATTTTTGATTTTCTTTAACCTCAAAAGTTGAGATATTAAGTCCACATTGTGAGGAAAGTAGGTAACAAAATTGGGGCTACAGATCCAGTGCTTACCTACAATAGCCCCCTCTAAGAAATGCAGTAGCAAGAAAAGTGTGTGGGAGGGGTGGGAGGGAGAAATGGGGAGTGGGTCTGAGAAAGTGGTTTTTAGTTATATCTCTGCTGTTTGTAACCAACTGTGTGTCTGTTTGGGGGGTTCTTCTGTCCACGTTTCTTGATAGAAAAAAAGGGGGAGGGAGGAACATTTTAATATCTACAATCTGGGTTTTATTACATTACCCTAGGTCCACACTTCCCTATAATTCGTTACTTTTGTATAGTCCCTTTATGGAACAACATAAGTTATAAGCATTCAAAATCTTACCTGCTTACTGATGTTGTATCATCTTTAATAGTTTTAATATAATTGTTCTGAAAAGTTTTAAATTAAAAGGGCCATTTTTAGCACCTTTTGGGAAATTTGCCTAAGACGTATCAGGGATCTGTCCTGTTAATTTTCAGTTACTTGCACCCTTTCCTAGAAAGGTGTAAATCCTTTAAAACCCTCCCTTAAAAAATATTAATAACAATAATAATAACTGAAACTACAAATCCCAGGAGCCAAAGCTGGAAACAGACATTTCTCCTCCTCTCCTTCCCGCCTCTAGTCTGGAATCTAGTCTGCTAAAACTAAAGTTGAGGCATCCTGAAATATGCCTGAAAAAAACCTCAGCTGTTTCGCCCCTGTTTTGGGGGGCGCTCTCGCTGGGCTCCTTTAAATCGGTGCTAAGCGTGAGGAGGACACAGGGCGACGCAGAGTGGGCTGGGCGTAGGGCGCGGCCATCACCTGTTCCCAGACGCGCGTGCGCACTGCCAGGGCGCGGACGAGGAGGCGGGACGCGGTGGGAGGGGCGGACGGCGCCCGACTGGCCCCGCTCAGATCTGCTTCTCCCCGGCTCCGGGCGCTGAGGCGGCGTCCGGGAGGCGTCTTCTGCAAAGGTTGCCTGGCGCTGTCCAACATGGAGGAGGCACCGGCCGCGGGCGTCACCTGCGAGCGGGACTAATCCCCTCCTGGTGTTCCGTGCAGCGGTGGCCGTCCCGAGCACGCCTCGCGGCGGACCCCGGCTCCGGTTGCTCCTGTGGCCGCGGGCTTCTCCACCGGGACGCAGCGCAGGGAGGAAGCACGGCGGTTCCGAGTCCCCCTGAGCCATGGGCAACGAGGCGAGCTTGGAAGGGGAAGGGCTCCCCGAAGGACTGGCGGCAGCGGTGGCGGCCGGAGGAGGGGCCGGTGGGGCGGGGAGCCCCTTGCACACCGTGATCCCGGCCGGCATGGAGGCGGATCTGAGCCAGCTGAGCGAAGAGGAGAGGAGACAGATCGCTGCTGTCATGTCAAGGGCGCAGGGGCTGCCCAAGGGAAGCGGTCCCCCGGCTGCTGCGGAGTCGCCTTCCATGCACAGGCACGCACAGCATGATGTATATGTCCTTGCATATATGTACAGCTTCCCGTGCACATATGTACCAGCCCGTATGTGCCAGCACAGCAGTACATATATGTCGCCTCCGTTCATTTTATTCACCCTAATGGGGTGCTATAAAGGGATCATAAGCCTTTTGATGGGCGGAATAAAAACGATGCATTGTAGAGTTTGTGGTGGGATAGTCGAGGGTTGCCTTCTCGGTACTGTGATTTTAGGTTGTGATTTTTGGCCTTTTGGAACCTTTTCCCTCTAGGATGGCGTGGAGAGACGCCCTCCAGCGTTTTACTAATCTGGAAGTCTTCCATTAATACAACACGGACGTGTTGGGAAATGGATAGAACTGGGTGTTTACCTGTCTCTGTTTAAACCTTCTCCTTGGGCATTTCGGGGTCTTTTTCTCCGTGAATGATGTCTAAATATTTCTGTAACAATACCGTTAATCCCTTTGGAGGTGATTTGTTCTCTCTTCCCACCTTACCTCCAGAGGAGAACAGAAGCTGTTTGGATAGAAGGTATAAAATGAATATACCATTTATATTCAGTGAGGGACCCTAAAATATGTTGTGACATTAAACAGATGGTTTGGTCAGAGCAGAGCAGGTGCTATACATGTATTTCTGAATTAGCATATGCTATTTTTTAAACCACTGCTATATTTTTATGCAAAAGTGGCTTTCAGTTTATGGAAGAGCATGTGAATTTGTATTACCTTAAAATTCATTTTCAATACTTTAAAAAATAAAACAAATAAATGATAACTTCCACAGGCAATTGTACGAGCTAACCTGTAATATTAACATATTCATTTCCCTCTCTAACTCTCCATTTTCCTTCACCCCAATAAATTAGTTGTTTTCTAATTAGCGTACTAAGAGGGTATAATCACTGTGCCTGCTTTGCCTTTATTATTGTAAACAAACCTTAAACTTTGCACCCTCCAGCAGCGAACAGTTCTCTGTCCGTGGTTCTGAATTCCTGCTTTATGACAAATGCAAGGAACCTACAATTTTTCATTCGAGAAACTGGCATAAGAAAGACCTGGATATATAGTTGTAGATTCTTATCCTCTAGCACATAAAAATATATATTTTTAACTTAGTCACTATCATATAAGTATATGCATATAACTTTGTTAAATAATTATAATATTAAATTAAATAGAGGAGAGATGTAAAATGTCTTATGGATAGTGATGATACTTCCACATAAAATCTTAAATCTTAAATGTCTAAAAATCTGTCAGGTAAAAACCCTACTTATCCTGAAAAGAAATAACTACTACTGGTTGAAGTATATTGGGCTATTTCTTTGCTATAAAGTCTTTCTTATTCATCACCTTATAGTGCCGTTTATGTGTACTTTTTCCCTCTATTAGATGAAAACTTGACTTGGAAAAAAAATTGATTTATTTTCATAGGGTAATAACAAAATATAATACCTTTATTAGCCTTTTAGAAGTGTATGCCAAATCTTCTATAATTTTTCCTAGGAGACACAAGCAACAGGTCTAGCAGGCTAGTTAAAATTAGCAAGAAAAGTATGATTTTAGTTTCTAGATTCCTAACTTTTCTTCTTCAAAGAGCAGCTGAAAAATATTATTTCAGACCAAAAAACTGTTGTTTTATTCAGTATTTCTATCAGATAATATACTTTTTAAACTATCTATTGGTAATTTTGTTATGTGGAGTTTGTATTAATAGGTAATCTGTGGCCTAAATTTATGGGTGAAAACTTTATCCAAATACTCAAAAATAAACAACTAGTTTCTGCTGTTTGCAATGTGCTTATATTTTACTGAAAGATTTCTATAAAAGATAACTTTTATAAAGTTTTTATCCCCCTGTACAATAACCAAATAAACACTTGGATTATCATTTAGACTTTTAGGATCATGTTAATTTAAGTATATATAGGAACATATATCTAAATTATTTGAAGTTTTAAAAATTTAAGTGGTATTAATTGGCATGTTGGGACTTTTTTGCTTTTAAGAAATAAGGGTTGAGAGCCCAAAGACCTAGATTCTTATCCTAGTGATTTTAACTGACTCATGGCAAATTACATACACTTCTCAGCCAATATGTGCCTCAGGTTCCTTGCCTTTACATAAGGCTAATAATACCTGTCTTACCTGTCTTCGAGGGTCATTGTGAAGACCACTTAAAAATTGACAGGGATGTTTTTGCTTGATTTTTAATTTAAAGGAATCCTACAAATGTAAAGAGTGGTAATATCACTACCAGAAATGGATGACACTTTCAGTGATGGCTACAGACAAGTTGTATGTTGAATTAACATTGTTGTGAGTTATTTTGATGTATTTATATTCTTTTACATATGGAGAAGTCAGTGTGATAGAGTGGAAATTACCCCCTCCCCACCAGCTAGGAGTCAGAATACCAGATTTCTGTGACTAATTAGTTTCATGACCTTGAATTAGTGACTTAGCTTCTCTAAGTCCTAGTATCCTGGATGAGAGGATAAATGAATAGATATTCATTTATTTATATAAATAATGTATAAAAATAAATAGATATTCCTAAGGTTGCTTATATTTCTAGTATAAAATTTTATGTGACTCAGCACTGTTAAGTGTCATTGCCTATTGTGTTACATTTTAAAAAATATTTTATCATTCCAACTGCTTTTACATTCCTAAATTTGCATATATATTTACTTAATTTTAGCTGAAGTAATTTTTCTACTAACTATAAAAGAATAATTCTAATCTGGGGATGACAATAGTAAAATGAAAAGAAAGTAGCATTAAATATGGTTAGTTACAAGCTAGAAGTAGAAGACAGGTTACAAATGAAATGCTCCTGGACTTTTGATTCATTGTAGACCCAGAGAAATACAATTTTATTACTTCTCCTACTCATTCTATTTACAACTAGGGATATATCATATGACAAGGGCTTTACTGGAAAACTTTTCTGACTAGTAGAATATTTTACAAGAATTCTGGATGTAGTGATTATTTCCTTTAGTACTTCTTTGGGCCTCCCCTAATATGTAAACAACTCTACACTGTTTTTCTTCCTAGAACAGCAGGCCAAGTCCATGTTCTAAGATGAATATGGAATGTATCCATTTATATCTCAGAAGGCCTATTGAAGAATTTGATTTGAAAAGAATTCAAGAAACATTAATCTAGAGTAAAACAAAAACCTGATATGTTAATTCATTGGTTTGCTCATTGTTAATCATCAATTTATTCATTAGTTCATCAAACATTAATGCTCATCTACTAGTGGCCAGACTTGGTTCTAGTGATGCAAAGATAAGTGAAATGCCTTCTCTCTCTAGTTCCCAGTCTAGTATACAAGGCACAGACTGCATTTTAGTCATTTCTCTTTTTAACACAACAACCTCTTTACTAAGAAAAAACTCACCAAAAGAGCAGTTAGCTAAGACACGTTTACATTTTTGTTTGGTAATAATCGATCTTCCCTTAATGAATTTCTTTCTATTTCCTGCTCTCGAATCTCTGTGTTTTACTTCTATTTACATAATTATAGCAACTAAAGCTAAGTTTAAATTGTAGGGCAGTCTTTATGGCTCTATAAGTATAGGTATTTTCTGATAGGGATGCTATAATGTAGTACAACTTCTATTTGTAGGAAATTCATGTAATTATAATTTCTGGTGCAAGTACCTTGCTTTCAACTCTGGTGTTTACTGTTATTGCAAATATTTGTTATTCATGAAGTTTGTTGTTATTTTGCACATATGTTAGATGAAGTGAAATATTATCACCAAACAATGGTTTGAATAAGTTTAATACTATTTTCAAGAGAGGACATTTTATTGAAATCGAGAAAAGATTTTTTTGTACTTTGTTTAAAGATAGACTTTTAGGACTCTGCACAAATAAACTAATTCAATAAAATGCCTAAATAATTGCTTACAGGATTTTACATCTGTAAAGTAGTTCCTAAGCATCTGCTCTTCAAAGGAATTGTACATTATGTTAATTGAAGGAAGAACAATTCTAGAAAAATGTCAAGATGTACCTCTTTGAATATAATCTACTTTCAATTATTTACTATAGCTCTTCTGCCTTCATATAGAAGGGAGCACATAGAAAGGCCTACAAAGAAACTTTCAAAGTTACTTTCCCTAAATGGAAATAGATAGCAGTGCATTTCAAATGATATTGGAGCTGTTCGAATTAACTAGAATAATAATTTTAGTTCCCTGTTTAAGTGAGAGCTTCAGAGATGACATGGTAAAATGTACATTTTTTGGTAAACTTTTTCCTGAAGGAAATTGCCAAAAATCAGAATTCTGTTTATTCATCTTTTGTCGGAATATCACTTTGTGCATACATTGCCATTTAAAGATTATTTTCTTTCTTTCTGAGTCTTTGCTATATAGAAGTTATGCTTCCCTGTTTCTTTCTACTATGCCATATGTCTTGATCTGTACTTAGATTTCTATATCATTAAGGAAGTTCTGAAAAACTCATATTAAGTATTAAATGATACAAAATTACAAATTGGTTGTCTGGTTCACTAGCAGATAAATTATGACAAAACTAATTAGAACCTGTAGTACTTTATTGTGATCACCTCATATTTTAGGTGCTACTGAATCACTGTTTCTTTATCCTTGTTTCTTTTAATTAAAGAGAAACATGCCTTTTCCAAAATTAAAAAGCTACATGTATCATGCAAAATTCTTGTAATCTAATTTTCTCCATAATTCTAATGCAAAATTTTTTTAGATGCAACTTTATAAAAAAAATGTCTTATTTAAAAAATGGATGTACTTAATATGACTTTGGCTAAATATATATTTTTGATAAGAAACATTTAATTATTTAATCATAGACATTTAAAATTGATCATGTTTCCAAAGCTATTTATAACAATCCATCTTGTATATTTGTCTATGAATTAAAAGAAATCTTGAAAGTTAATTATTTATTATATTTTATAATGATGTAAATAACTAATAAGAACATAAATAATCTATCAATGGCAATAATAAATGATGTAGCAAACACTAAATAAAGAGATCACTATGTATGTTCTTCACCTGAGAAAAGTAACAGTACTTTTCAAAAGTGGGGTCACAATTGACTTATTACTATTTGGATACCAGAATATATTTTAAGATGCTTTAAGCATTAATTATTACTTTTCTTAGAAATTTCATATTAAAAATTAGTTATTAGTAAAAATAATTAAATAACACTGGTCTTCCACAAGAAAGACAGAGTTGTTTCTCAAAATGTCTCAGTAATAATAGTATAAATTCTCATCCTATTAAGTTTAATAAAGAAATTTAATGAATATTACCTTTCTAGGTAGAATGGAATAAAATTGAATAGGTTATCAATTTTCTCAGCCTCCTGGAAAGGCATCATGTAACCTCCATTACCAGAAACTCTCCTAATGTCACATTGTGTGCCTTATATAACTAATGTAAATTCTCAAAATCAAGTTAAAAAAAAGAAAGTTTCAGCAAATTTCTACATTTTAAAATGAATATTTTTACTTTTCAATGCTGCTAGTAATTAGGAGACTAACTTTCTTTGACCATACTTTTTATAAAAAATACACACCTTGTGGTTATATATGTATTATAATATGACATTACATTGACTTATTGAGGTTTTAATTTTAATCTCTATTTAATTAGGTTTTAAGTATACTCAGATTCCATTAAGTGTAAATGTAAATTCTTTTTATGATAAGTATTTTATAACTATGTATGTTAATTTGTTATCATTCATAACAACTATTGTTTCTTTCCTTTTCTTCCTCTCCTTGTTGAAAATCTCTATGTATTTAAAGAAAGGAACACAGGCATTAAAAGTTTTATGATCACATACAATATACTACAAAAATAGACTCTAGTTATACATTCACAATTTGGAGGATATAAGAAAACAATAGCTTTTTGATATACTTTGATTTGAAATAATTTTCATTTATTTTTCTGTCACTATTCTAGGAAGCAAGAATTGGATAGTAGTCATCCTCCAAAGCAACCGGGAAAACCACCAGATCCTGGGCATCCAGTTCAGCCTGGTCTCAGTAAAAGTAGAACTACAGACACTTTAAGGTCAGAGCAGAAATTGCCTGGAAGGAGTCCTTCCACTATTAGCTTGAAAGAATCAAAGTCCAGAACTGATTTTAAGGAAGAGCACAAGTCTAGTATGATGCCTGGCTTCCTGTCAGAGGTTAACCCTTTAAGTGCTGTCTCCTCTGTTGTAAATAAATTCAACCCTTTTGATTTGATATCAGACTCTGAAGCATCACAGGAAGAAACTACAAAGAAACAAAAAGTAACTCAGAAAGAACAAGGAAAACTAGAAGCAATCACAAAACCTCCATCACAACAACAATCACCTAAGTCAGTTCCTAAGCAGCAAGGACCTGTTAGGGAACCACTTCAGCAAGACGGAGCTTCCAAATCAATAACTTCTCAGCAACCAGAAAAAGTCAAATCACAACCTCCAGGTACAGGAAAGACAATTCAGGGGCCAACCCATACTCCCCAGACAGACCAGGAAAAATTGCCACTTCAACGAGAGGTAACGAGGCCTCAGACTAAACAGTCAGATGAAGTAAGAGGAGAATCAATTAAACCTTCACTGCAAAGCCCATCCAAACCACCTGTTCAGCAAGCAAGTCCTGGAAAACCTTCAGCCCAGAAGCCTACACCTGAAAAACCACAGCCTGGGCCTGCAAAGCCTCCAGCTCAACAACCAGGGTTAGCGAAGCCCCTAGCTCAACAGCCAGGGCTAGTGAAGCCCCCAGCCCAGCCACCAGGAACAACAAAGCCTCCAGCTCAGCCCCTAGGGCCTGCCAAGCCTCCAGCTCAGCAGGCTGGCTCAGAAAAACCTTCATCTCAACAGCCTGGGCCAAAGACTCCAGCCCAGCAGCCAGGACCAGCAAAGACCGCAGCCCAGCAGCTGGGGACACCAAAACCCACAGCTCAACAACCTGGCCCGCAATCTCCAGCTAAGCCACCTGCATCTACAAAGACTCCAGCTCAGCAGACTGGGCCAGCTAAGTCTCTGTCTCAGCAGCTTGGACCAGGAAAGACTTCAGCTCAACAGCCAGGCCCAGCAAAGCTTTCTATTCAACAGCCAGGCCCAACAAAAACCCCTTCCCACCAGCCTGGCTCAACAAAGCCCTCAGATCAGCAATCTACAAAACCAGTAAGCCAAAGAGGGACAGCAAAACCTCTGCAAACACCACCAATTCCTCCATCTGCAGCACAGACTTCATTACAAGGTCTCCCTAGAACCATCTGTCCTCTTTGCAATGCTACTGAACTTCTGTTGCATGTTCCAGAAAAGGCCAATTTTAACACATGCACTGAGTGTCAAACTACTGTCTGTAGCCTATGTGGTTTTAATCCCAATCCTCATTTAACTGAGGTGAGTATACTTATTCACTGAGTCTATGCTCTTCTGCCATATCTTGTCTTCCACAAATGGTTCTTAGTTTATCATTTAAATGGTAGGATGACATTATCTTTCTCTAATTCCTTCCTTCCTTCCATCTTTCTTTCCCTCCCTCCTTCTTTTCTTCTCTACCAGTTGTACATTAGAACTTAATTTTTTTCTCCAGTAATAAGCCCAAAATATTGCCACAATTTCTGAAAATTTAGCATATAAAACAAACATAAATTGATTGAAATATGTTGAGTACCTACTTATTTCACTCTTATGTGTAAGATTCACATTATTTATGTAGCATACAATGATATCACTTTACATTTTAAATTGATGCTTCTACCTATCAAAATTCCAGTATTCTGAACTGGGATGTATTTGTGTTAGGAAAAAAAGTGGACAATGTTTTCAAATTCTAAATACAATTTTAATATAAAACTGAATACAGTTTTTCAATCTGCATGTCCCTTTTCCTTGCCAGTGATTCCAATATACCCAATGAAGGCATGTTTTCCTCCTTAGCTGGAATCATTAATAAAAGCATAAATCAGTTCACAAGAAGATGTAGTCATTAGAGTAGTTTCAACATTGTTGGATATATTCACAGAAGATTGCAGTTTATACCTACAAGGCTTATGTCTAGGTAGTCCTTATTATTACTAGGCTTGTATCTGGTTAATTCTTCCTGACCCATCGAATCATAAAGGGGACAATAGTAACACAGATGCCTACAAGGTTGTTAACTCAGATTGAAGATAGAAAAGTAATTCTCAGCAAGTCAGTTAATATTATCTCAGCACTTACAGGCCCTGAATAAAGAATCACTTTAATAGGTAGAGATCCGGGGGCATTTTAGAGAGAAGGGACCAAACACAAAAAACAGCAGAAAAACTAAAATTCTCTGGAGTTAAGAAATAACACCGTGAAGTTGGGATAATAATTTAAAGAATAAAGAGGTTTAAGGTCTATGAGAATATAAGAAGAGGTTCATTTCTTAAAGAGATCTGATAGCCACTACTGATCAGAAGGCACAAAAAGCATTTAGTCTGTCTGGAGGACAGCTGTCAGTGGGCTGTCCTTGCATCCTGTCTGCAAACAGCCCAGGAAGTAACTGACAGCAGGCAATGAAGGATTATATGATTGAATTATCCTTGAGAGATGAAGCTTGTGCACTCCTGTTATAAATGAAGTCTATGTCATGATAATAACAACAATGATGATCATTGGTAACTCTTATGTTAAATTAGCTACTGATCATGGAAAAATGAAAATGATACAGATTTAAAATATGCCAGGCTTTAGTTGTTTTCTAAAGTATTATTCATTTTTTTCTAAAATGTCTTTTACTTTTTTTTAACTTAAAGTCATATTGAGTACTTTACTTTTTTAAATAAGTCATTTTTTACTGATAAAATTGCAATTCATAAGAACATGCTAGATGCAAATTTTGAAAGAAATCAGATTATAAGTAGTTTGCTTATATATATGTAGCTTGTTAAGTGTTGGTAAAGATATTAACTTGATAGGAATGTGAAGTAATAATGACTTCAAATGATGGATGCTCTTTTTACAAAATGTATAGGTTTGAAGTGTTTTAGTGGCAATTTATAAGGCAGAAACATGCATTTGGAAATTTAAGCCACATATATTATTTCTATACCCACTATATGAAAGGTAGATATTATTTGAATATCTACAGTATGGAAGACATTCCGCTACAGTTTGCTGGGATATAAAGATGACTGAAACATGAATGCTGATCTCAATATGAGTGAAATGTACTAGATTAGATAATACACATACAAGGAAACATAATATGTAGCCAGATGATAAGACTTGTGAGAGATATGAACAAATATTATGGACTTCAGAGGAGGGAGTGCTCATTTCTAGTGGGTAAGATTAAGAAAAGCTTCATAGGGAAAAGGATGGGTAGTGTTTCAGATAGAGAAAACCAAAGAGGGTAATGATTTGGGCCAGGACCTGCAGCCAGAAAAGTACAGGATGTATATAAGGAGTCAGGAATAAATCTAGGTTAGCTGGAGGGGTGGGGAAGAAATGGGCAATGAAGTTGGAGGTAGACTGAGGTCAGATTTTGGCCTTCTACATTTAGCAGATAGTGATGAATATTCTACTTTATGAAACTTACCTTGATGAATGTCGTTACACATTTGATCATACATTTTATAAATTTGCATAAAATGCCTAGTTATGAAGCACCACTGAGTGCTATGACAGAATCAAATATTCATTAGATACAGAGTCTTCCCTCAACTAGAAATAGGGGAAATAAAAGTTGTATATAAGAAAGAACATCTATATCTAAATCTATATTAAAAGTAACTTTGTATAGGGCCTTATGTTTCATATAAATCTTTCTTACTTGTTTTATCACAATTAAACTTACAAATAATTTTCTGGGCATATATTCTATTTTCTCTGTTATACTACTGAGGAAACTTGTGTTCAAGTAGTCACTGTGGTTAGTTTAGTTGTTAGGATCACCCACATGATAAACTACCAAGCAGAACCCAAACCAAATCTTCTGATTCCAAATCTGTTTACTCATGGTGGGAAGAGAGATAAACTGCTATGGGGTCAAAGGAAAAAAAAATCATTATCAATGGTGGGTATTGAGCTATATTCATGAAAACAGAAGTATTTGAGCTGGGAATATGAAGTACGGTAAGAATTTGGACACACATGGATGGGCATGGAAGGAGTTGGGAATGTGGGAGCAGGTAGAGGGTCTCACTAGCTGAGTAGAGTAAGTCATAACCTATTGTCTGGATGAACTTGGACATTTACACTTCCGTTACAATGGCATCATTTGGAATATAAATATAACATGTTTTCAGGCACATTGGGTTGTTAGGAAGATTAACCAAAAATTTATATGAGAAATTATTTTTAAATATATGGTGTGCTTTTGAAGTTACAATAGCAGCAGAGATAGTTTTAGTATTATAAGTAGATTTGGCTTTTAAAGTTTACTTGCACATTGTTTTCTATATAGGTATATCATAAATAGTTGGGTTCTGAGATAGCAATTTAAAGCCACTTGACCAATAGTATTAACGGTAACATGTTATTTTAACTTTCATTTATTTTTTTCCGTAAGGAAAAATGTGATCAATTCTAATTTTGAGCTCTAGAAAAGCATCTTTTCTAATCCTGTCCACCAAGAAGCCAATTTCTCAAACTCCTGAATTATCCAGAGTTCAGAGTTGGAAAATTAGAGCACTGCATAGAAGCTGAGAACTTCTGTTCCAGGAGATTTGGTAGATGAAATATTGGAGATGACCACCACTTCTAAACTGTTATATGTATCCATGAAAAAGTAAATCTCTCTGCATCTTCCAAAAAGGATGTAACAATCTGGGTCAAATTGCCCTCAAATGTTCAGATTGAGTAAACAATTTTGCCATGGAGGATAGGGACAGAGGCTAAACATTTTTTGGTACTTCAATTTACATGAATTTTTATTTTCTAGTTTGATATTTATATGCAAACAACCCTCTATATTATTACTTTTGTAGTCTGTGGGTAAAATAGAACATTGGTTTCTTGTGTCACTCCCTGAAAAGACTAAGGAGAATTCCTATGATTTTTTTCTTTACTGATGCATCACCATTATAACTATATTCGCTTGTGACCATCCTAATTCTTAAACTACTACCAGGTCTGGGGAAGAAGGACTAGAGAGGTAGCTACACTCAGCCCCAAGCTATAGGGAAGAGAGAATATTTGCTCCCTTAATTATAAATTCGCTAAATTTCACCCCACCCCTGCTGGATACTGTTGCACTCTCTTTGTCACCTCTCTCCCCCTGGGTGACAGAGATGCAAAGGATTACTCAAAGCCCATTTCTTCTAAGCAGTGAGAAGCCCAAAGGGGTTAATTTTCCAGGTAGACCTCAAGAGAGAGTCATTCCTCCTTGGAAAAATAACCCTGAACTGGGGTTCTTTCTCGGTATTTATTCTCCAGGCCAGAAAGTTACAGAAAAGGAACATAGATGGAGTTATGGCTAAGCATAGTTTAACAATAGAGGCTGGTAACATCAGTGAACAACAAAGTGACATTCCATAATGCAATTTGCAAAAGGTTAAGTCGATCCACCAACAATAGCTTGTTCTTAGCAAATACTGTCTTTTTCCACAGCAGTTTCCTCAGTATTTTTACATAACAGTAAAGCAACTTTAGGTTAGTCTGCACCAAGGACATCTGTCCTTGAGCCAACAATTTTGCTGTGTTACTATTCTTTATCTACAACAGAGACTTTAGGCTGGGGAAATTTTCCTGTCTTTCGCAAGCTTAACATTTCTATGTGTAATTTTTAAAAGTTAGGTTAAACCTGAAACTACAGGCCTTTGGAGGCTAGGCCCTGTGAAATGCATTTGCTGTATTAGTGTTAGTATAGTCCACAACATACAAGCACCTTAGACAACCCAAAAATCTATGTGCAGAGGATGGCCTTTAAATTAACTGTCCTCTCTGGAGGCTGTAGAGATGTGTGCTGATCCAAATAACCTTAATAATCCACTGGCTCCAAGCCTAGACTTTTGATGCCAAGAGGAGTTTATGGTTTTATCTCTTCTTGCTGGTCTGTTAACTGAATAAATCTCTACAATGCAGTTCCTCTCTTTGGGTTTGCTTTCTGACACAAAAACTGAACATTTGCTCTCTAACTAGTGACAAAAGCATTTTTATTGTTATTTTTATTGATTTACTTTATCTCTTTTGCTGTGTAGCATCAGGCAAGATAGATTTAGGGACACAGATTTATAGGCTTGTCTCTAGTGTTTGATAATTCTCCCAATGTATATGAAATTTTGTAATATATAATAATTACTTGTGACTTTTTAGAATGTTGATGAGCCGAATGTTAGTGATGAAAGTGGATTTAGGAGGGATTTTTTTTTTTTTTGTCATTTTCTTTTTTTCATTTTTTTTTTTTTTTTGGTCATGATGGCCCATATATT